CATGGTTCTTTGTTTCTTTACATTCCATTTTTTTTCCTGGTTATGATTTTATACTTCTTAGTCATATGTTGTCTTGAATCATAGAAATGTTGGACTTTACCAACGAACTAAAAATAAATAAGCAAGGTAAATACACACAGCATATCCTTGATTGCTTTCACACTGGATAAAACTGGAAGTTGTTCTCTACTTATCAAATCAAACCTTTATTTCAATCAAGGAACAGCGTAAGAAGGGTGGAGTGCCCTCAATTAAAAAGCATAAAAATACATCGAAATCTAAAAATAATAATTATAAAAAGTTAAAAAATATAAAATAAACACACATATTCAAATTTTTAAAAAAATCTAAAAGAAGAGATAGGAGCATTAGATGGGCATAGGAGAACATAAAATGTTATTATGTGGCAGACTAGATCTATAGCAATATAGAGCACTCTAGAATGACGAGTTAAATGTTCATTAAGACTGTTTTATGGTGCAGGTCATTTTTTGGTGGATCTTGAGTGCTGCTGTATAGAATTTGGCAAAAACGTATGTTGTAACAGAGTTAGTATCTGAGAGCAGCAGAGAGGTACAAAATTATCATGTGTGCCCTGTATATTTATGCAGTAATGGTGAGATGAGGCTAGTACAAATGTCTCTGTAATGCAGGCCCTGGAGAGGTACATGCTCTATAGCAGTGGTCCCCAACTTTTTTATCGCCGCGGACCAATCAGCCTTTGATAATTTTACCGTGGCCCGCTGAGCGCGCGCAGGGGTGGGGGCTTTGGGCCACACGTGCGTACCTGCGCGGGGCTCTCTTCCCTGGAGCCTGTGCGCACGGCCCAGGAGCTTTTGCGCATGGCCCAGGAGCTTTTGCGTACGGCCCAGGAGCTTTTGCGCACGGCCCAGGAGCTTTTGCGCACGGCCCAGGAGCTTTTGCGCACGGCGCAGGAGCCTTTGCGCTGCAGCGTTCATGTCCCCCGGCCGCTGCGCGGCCCGGTGCCAGGTACTCCACGGCCCGGCACCGGTCCGCGGACCGGGGGTTGGGGACCACTGCTCTATAGTCTCTGTGTGTCCAGACTTGAAGCAGTATTATCTCCAGGTAGGGCACCTTTCTGTATTGGCCCTTTGGTGGTTAGGTACTTCAAGATTATCTAAATATGCCATAGAAGGAGGATATACTTATTGTGCTCACTGGCAAGAAAGGTTGGGACCTGGCTAGTTCCAGTTGGTCAGTGGTGGGTTTCAAATTTTTTTACTACCGGTTCTGTGGGCGTGGCATGGTGGGTGTGGCAGGGGAAGGATACTGTGAAATCTCCATTCCCACCCCACTCCAGGAGAAGGATACTGTAAAATCCCCATTTCCTCCTGATCAGCTGGGACTCGGGAGGCAGAGAATAGATGGGGGCAGGGCCAGTCAGAGGTGGCATTTACGGGTTCTCTGAACTATTCAAAATTTCTACTACCAGTTCTCCAGAATTGGTCAGAACCTCCTGAAACCCACCTCTGCAGTTGGTGCTCTGTGCATCAGGGGTGAAATCTACTTACCTTCCTTACCGGTTCGGAAGTGCACGTGCCGCGCACACACTTCACATGCATGTGCAGACCTGCACATGCGCAAAACCTTCTGCGCATGTGCAAAAGATAAAAAACACATTACTTCCTGGTTAAAACCAGGAAGTAACGACACCAGGGCGGGTGGGCGGATCGCTGAACCACACACCACGATTGCTTCCGGATCGCCTAATCTGGTCCAAACCGAGAGCATTTCACCCCTGCTGTGCGTGTTGCACACTGTTCAATGAATGTTTTGGCTTGGTCATATCCCATGCTAAGTAGAAGAGCTGAAGAAAGCCCAAAGAGAAGATTCTAATTCTTTTCCCATGTGGACTATAAATCATCCCTCATAGTTAGTAGGGCAAAGAGAGTGCTGCAGGAATGTAGTGGCCATCTCTTCTTTTAAGGATGGCAGATGAGCTCCTCTGTGCATTTTCCACAACATATTCTGCATGGGTTTCCTGCTGTTAGCAGAATGAAGACTTCCAGATATTTGAAATAGGAGACCAGCTAATCTGTGACTATCTGTGTTCCAGGAGTGGCCTTTAGGCCTTTTGACAGATAACATGGTCTTGGTTTTCAGATAATTCTACTGGCCATAAAACTTTAAAACATTTAAATATTTAAAACATACACACACATACACACACACGAACAATTTTCACCATTTCCAAAATACTGGTTGATTGTCTTCCATGCCTTTCTCTAAAGCTGATCCAATTTCTCTGAGTCCTCCTTAAAGTGTGTGTTGCCCAAATCTGGCCACAGTACTTAAGGTCTGGTCATAGCAAAACAGAAGGGAACAGTTACCTCCTGTGATACGCAAGTTGTATTTCTGCTGATAATCTCCAAGATAACATTTCTCTGTAATCATATCAGATTTCTGGGTCATACAGAATTTGCAATCAATTGCTATTCCAAGATATTTCTCACAAGTACTATTAAAGATAGGTTTCTGTCATCTTACAGCTCTACTCTTAATTTTTGTTTAATAAGAGAAGAACTTCACATTTGTCTTTGTTAAATTTTGTTCTATTTCCTTTAGTTCACTTTTCAACACAATTAGGCACCTCTAAATTGAAACAAAACCTACCTAAGTCACTTTGAATCTTATTTCAGTCTAGCTAACCCACCCAACTTTGTATCAATCTACAGATCTGATAACATTTCCTTCTACCTTATTGTAGAAATCATACATGAAAATGTTGAGGAATAAAGGACACAGAACTTATCTCCACGGCACCCCATTTGATATTTCTTTCCAATTAGTTAAATAATTTATTAATGATTGAAACTCAAGGTATTCTTGAAACTTGCTGAGATGCATAGCACTCATTCCAAATCTGAAACAGTGTGACTTGGATCTTGCAGATATTATTTAGAACCAAACACTAAGCAACCCAAGTTTAATCACACAGTATGTTCAGTATTAATGTACTCAGTACTGATATGTCATACACAAGCATCCAACAGCACCGTTTCTATTTTGACTTTCAAAACTGGAACACAAGTGGTGACTCTGGAAAAGATCTGAATTATGTAAACATCTGTGGTCATAAATCACCTTTTAAAATTTAATTTATAGTGAACTACTTTTTGGCATGAGTCAAAAATTTAAGAAGTATATCACATGGTTTCTCTGGCATGGAAGTGTCTTTTTATCAGAAGTGCTTTTAAATGCCCATACGTTGAAGTACTTTATCTTGCTTTATCATAACTAAGGTGGACTTTCTTATATGATAATATGCCCCACGAAGCAAAACATTTCAGCCCAGTAGGAGTTAAGAAGAAGGCAATGCTTTTTTGACTGGGGAATGAAATTAAACCGTACTCCAAAAATCTCTTCTGTTTTACTGATGAACAGTTCCAAACATAGCTGTGTTTAATACCAAATGTAGCAAACTCTCTCTAAAAAGGCAATATAAATCACTGAGTATGTGGGGGTCAAAAAGCAAAGGCATGAAATTCTAAAATTCAGTTAACAGATGATCTTTTCACAGCAAGAAAACATTTGCCCCACACACTATGTTATTTCAAAGGGCAAAACTGTTGTGGGATGCTGAAGGAACTTAGCATACACTGTCAAGTGAAGGTTGGGAGATACTTGCCACGTAGCTGAGATATGTAATCAGAACATTTCTATTCCTACCAGCAGATCATTCAACTTTGGTGGTCAGTTATTGGCTTATTTTTGTTAAAAAATTGATATAGATACAGATACAGTGTCTTCATTTTAAGTATACAGCATTGCAGCTTAAAGAAATATAGTCAACAATCTGTATTTCTTCAACCTGTTTATGGCCAAACAATTACCACCATAATTTAGGAATAGCAGTTAGTAGAACATGCCCTCAAAATTCCTATTGTCCTTTTGATTTATTTTTTATTTGAAAGTGGCGGGGAGAAACCTTGATGTTAACCTAAAAAGAACCTAAGAACCAATAAAGAAGTAGATTAAAAGGAGGAGAGTAGCATTACAATTAAGCCATTAAGGACAAGGGACATTATAGGTAGCAGTACCAACTGACCTTTGTTTATCTCAAAAGAGCTAAGCAGCATTGGACTTGATTAGTAGTAGGATGAGAGATCGCAAAGAAATAGCAGAGTTTTAGACTTCATTGTCAAAAACCTACCCTAGACGAAGACAATGACAAATCATTTCTGAACTGTTGTCAAGCAAATTATACTGATATACTGTATCCAGGATAATTACCTGAAGTCAAACTGCATTCAAGATAGACAGTACCTAACCCTTAGAATATTAATCTTTAATACCAATTTAGAACAGGGGTCTGGAACCTTAAACACTCAAAAGAGCCATTTGGACCCTTTTCCCACAGAAAAGAAAACATGGGGGGCCACAAAACCCTTCCCGTGCCTGACTATTTCTTGATTGGCCACAAAACTAGCATATGTAGTTGAATTAAATGTTCTGTTTTCTTCTGAAACTTTTCTTTTCTTGGATTTATTCATGGTTAACCTACCGGGGGTTGAAAAGCTCAATAAATCGCGTGCTGGCAGATGTCACACATTGGTGGTTGTGACGCACATTTTGAGTGACAGGGAGTCGCAGCAGAGGGGTGAAAGAGCCACATGCGGCTCCAGAGCCACAAGTTGATGACCCCTGATTTAGAACAATCACTGAAACAGTAATATATTGTGGGATTGTACAAAGCTTGCAGATTCAAGAATGAAATGTTGAGAAGTCTCGCTATATTACTGTATATTCCCAGTCCAGACCATGACAAACTTCCTCCATACAAAACCATTCCAGGAACAATTTAGTGAGTTGTGCATATGCTTAATGGGTGAATGCAATCATTTTTAAACATAGCATTAATAAACATTTACCTTAAAAATGCAGTTACCAGCACAAAGAATCAAATGTTAAAGCCTACATGTAGTATTTGAAAAACAATGTGCCAAGTATATTATGTTTTAATGAATTAGGTTGCTCACCGAGATTGACACATCTTCAGTTCTTCTCTTGGCAGTGGAATCAAATAAAACATTTCGCCCTCTTCTTTCACAGTCCTGGTACACAATTAGTCGGATCTGACTTGGATTAAACTCCGGCAAAGGCCAGCTTTAAAAAGAAAGGGAGGGGGGAAAAAGAATTTCACATTAGTTGTGGCTTCATTACGTATATTAACTAAATGTCTATTTACTAACTATACTATCAAGAAGAGATGGTGATAGTGACAATAACAACAATTAATGAGCCAAACAAGATATATTTTTCTGAACATTGGTGTAAATGGATCAAACTTCATCAGTAACTTTAACTGTTGTTTAAAACATTTCTTACAGTAATGTGGCATCAGTCTTGTTAATACACACTGCAAAACTATTGTAATATATGCATTAAAAGCAGAATTGTTATTAATAGAAAGAGTTATGGGGATAAAGAGCTTCAAAAAGGTTTCTTATTGGATCATTTTGCCTTGCATCTTTTATAATAAATACTTTCCCACAAAGATGTTTTATGATCATAGAATTCCCACAATCAACCCATTTGTTTCATAATGATCAAGAGTGAACAGCACATCTCACTCAACTATCCCCTTGTAAATCCCCTCTGAGAAAACACAGAGACACAAAACAGAGGTTCAGGCCAAAAAAATGCCAACATAATTCCCTAAGTACTTTAGAGGCAAGATTGTCTGCCATTCCAAGGAGGAAGCATAATAGAAATGTACTGTAGCCTGAATCACAGGAAAAAGTAGCATAGAAACGAAAGGCAAGAATTCAATTTAATTCCCATCACCACCAAAAAGAAAAGAAATAACAAAACTTAACATGTCTGCTTTGCACTGTTGCTTTACCCAATAAAGAATTCCATGCATACAAAACTGGTTCAAAATCACCCAGCTGGATTTCATGCCTATGACAGAACTAAAATTTACAGTCGCCAGGTTTCCAGCCTGGTGCTTTAACCACTAGAACAAACCTCAAAATATTATTAAGCTAACAATGACTTTTGAACTCTTTTCATTCTTTCTAGTCTAATGGAAATTACGTAGGGAGACTGGACCCTTGCCTATCTATGTAACCATCCACAAGACAAAAATTCCCCAAATCTGAAATGACAGAATTGGATTTGGCATAGGGAGAGAAGCTGAAAAAATAAAATTCTAGCTCAAAAATAGGCTGTTATCTGTGGAGGGGGGAGATTTTTCACCGTATTTCCCAGAATGTGTCTCCACAGAAGAAGCGATTGGGCAACATCATATGTTAATAACATATCATAAATGTTAGTAACGTTTCCATTCTGAGCTCCCTTCCTCCCTCCTGAACCAAAGCACACCATGTGTAACCCATCCTGTTCTTTCCAGAAGACACACACATATCAACAAATGCGGACATGAAGGAATCTCAATACTAATGCAATATGGCAGAAACAGAGGTTCTTCTTATGGCCAGTGCCAGTTGTGAGGTTGGAAAGAATTCCAGCAGCCATGTTCCTCAAGCTTCAACTCCCTTGTTACTTTCATCCTTTGTTTTAGGAAGCCACCTCTGATGCTCTCCTACCCATTCTAGATTAGAATGTGGACTCAACTGACTAGCTTTTAGACACTGACCTGACAGCTGTTTGACAAAAAGACAGACAGAAAGGTCTCTAAAAACCACTTCAGAGGCAAATGAAGTGAACCAAACAGAGAATTCTGCTGCATTTATCAGCCTATGTTATTCAACTACAGTGAACTAGGTTACTTCTCCAGCTATGTTCATGATATTTTAACTACCTTTGGGCTGGAATAAATTTATTCCAGCAGACTATTATCGGCGTTACATAATATGACTCTTATTTCGTCTATAAAAATTCTTTGGCAGCTGCGGCACTATCCCAGGAATCCAAAGAAAATGAAGTGGCAAATCCAGAGGAAGATATTCAGGAAGATCAGCAAGGATACAAAAGAGGCCAGACAACGGGATTCTCACAGCTGTCCTAGAAGCATGTCTGCAGACATGTGATTGTGCCTAACATAAAAGCAATTATTTCAGCAAATGCAATATTAAACATCATCAAGAGATAGGATCTCCTCCAAATTTTGAATGCAACTGAAGAAATGTTTAGGACTTTTTTCATATATATGTGAACTATGAGCTTTGCTTTAAAAGCTTATATTTAATTCTACATTTGTAAAACTTTATTATGTCCAAGATTTAAGCTGAAAATTCATAAGGGAAAAGCCAAAAATGGATAGTATTTTGATAAGAATTGGGGATAGGTATTATTTCTAAATATCTGCCCCTATTATTAAATTGTAAATGTAGAATAAATTAATAAACATTATGTAACATCCAGTTAGAAAAATTATCTGAATAAGGATTTTTGATCAAATCTACAGAAGAACCTGAATAATTCACCCAACTCTTGTCAGATTAAAATGAATATGCTGGTTTCAAATCCTCACTTAAAATGAAAATGGATTTTAAATGGCAGTAAACAAATCTGACTGGAAACACAATAGACATATTGCAAATCAGAGGAAGTGCAATTCCAATTTATTGTTCCCTCTTATTTCATTTTATTGGTTCATACAACACAAAACATATAATAGGACTAAAGCATTATATAGACCAGGGGTTGGCAACCAACAGCTCTGGAGCCGCATGTGGCTCTTTCATCCCTCTGCTGCGGTTCCTTGTCGCCAGTCGGCTCTACAGCTGATAGAGCTTTCAGTTAGGACAGGTAAAGGAAAAAGGACCCTGTGCTAGGAGGAGACTCTGTGGTGGGGGAACCAGACTTCCAGTTGGCTCCAGAATTGAAGGGGGGGCTTCCGGTTAGGACCTTTGTGGCTCTTTGAGTGTTTAAGATTGCCGACCCCTGATATAGACCATTGAGAATAATGTAGCTATACTAAACTATTTAAAATACTGTTATCTGTCTATATCTTTATATTCCAAATTGTTCAAAGGTTTTTCTCATAACAATCCTGAGAGATGGCTTGGTTGAGGACAGTGACTAGATCAAATACATTTTAATGGCTAAGCAAAATTGGTATGCTGATCTCTCAATTTTTACTTCCTATCATTCTCCATACTGAAGTCGCCTATACAGATTTTTCAGTTCATAGAAGAAAATGTTCATTCCCCATCAAAAAAAATTAACACCTGATTTGTTTACAAGGGGTATTTACAAGTTATGGTAAAATGCGTCTTTTGGTACTCTGAACTGTTAAAGATTCTATTTAAAAAAAAAGATATTGAACACTTTTAACATAGATCATACAAATTACATACCAAGGCTCCAATTTCTTACTGAGATCATTAGCTCTTTTATTCTTTTCTATGTAGCATTTCTACCACAAGGTTTTTCAAATATAAAGTCATCTGGGGTCTTTAGATACCATCTTCTTTAACAACAAAAGAAAAAAAAAATCCCAATAGACAAATTGTCCATAGTTTAGATCAGTGTTTTTCAAACTTGACAGCTTTAACCTATGTGGACTTCAACTCCCAGCATGCTCCTTACATGTTAAAGTTGCCAAGTTTGAAAAATGCTGGTTTACGGAAATATTTAATTATTAACTATTCTAAATCCTGTCTTGTTAGCATTTGTTTATAAACCTGGGAAATTATGCCATTTCTTATTTGTATTTATCACACCAAAATATTAATTTACAATTATTTCAACAATGATCTCCATACCTCTTCTTCATCATATGCCTATTGTTCCTGTTCTACTGATGGAAAAGAGCAAACAGGTGTATCTTAATTTTACAACTCCTTTAATCCAACCAAGTTTCTCAACTAAAAAGTAAATATGCCCTCCAGTCAAGCTTGACTCATGCAATATTTTTGGCAGCCTTATGGAAATGGTTTGTCACTGTCTTCTTGTGGGATGTATTTTCCCCTTCCCAGTCTAGCTGAGAGGCTGGTGATTCTCCATCCAAGTACTAATCAGACCCTGCTTATTCCCCCAGATCAATCAAAGTCAGCTGAGTGCTAGGAGCTAAAATGGGCAGCTGATGAATTCTGTCTACAAGACAAATGTTTTTAAATAATTTTGGAATATTTGCTACGTGAAGTATCCTCAAACCGGTCTTAATGCTTTCAAAAGGAAATCTAATAGTATTTAACATTGTCATAATGCATAGTTACAGTGGCTTTGATCTGGAAAGTTATAGCAATCAAGACTATTTGTTCCAACATAATATTGAGTAAAGTTATGAAAACTGCCTGGCAATGAATCACTGGTCCAAACTATTTTTAAGGACATCTACGCAAATGTTATTTTTAGTTTATGCCAGCTTATCTGTTCTGCATGCCTTTCATGTTAGCACCTTTTTAGAACACTGATAGGAACATTTATGGCAGAACAGGTTCTGGGTCCATTTCATATGGTACCTTGGCTTTTTCCAACAATGCTCACTGCTGAACACAATAAAAAGGATATGCATTACAGCTCATCCAGCTACAAGGCATCCTAATAGATAAATAGAGCAACCTTTTGCTAAGTAGAAGTAATTAAATTACGCTTTGTTGCAGGTATCATTCATTTTTATTTTGCTGATATATGTACAATAAGTAACATGGCAAGGTTTAGGATTGCGAATTTGGATTTAGTATACAGTAGATTTTTAAAATATTGGTAGTTCTAAAGCAGTGGTTCTCAACCTTCCTAATACCACGACCCTTTAAAACAGTTCCTCATGTTGTGGTGACCCCCAACCATAAAATAATTCCTAAAACCATTGAAAATATGTGTTTTCCGATGGTCTTAGGCGACCCCTGTGAAAGGGTCGTTCGACCCCCAAAGGGGTCCCGACCCACAGGTTGAGAACCACTGTTCTAAAGCATGTGAATGCGCATTTCAATTTGAAGTGTCACGTTTGTGATTGGTAATATATGCAGAGGGTTTGTGGCGGAAGAGTAGATTGAAAATAGGTGTATGACTCAACATTAGAGTACAGACATTGTAGCACCTTGAAAAGTTTTTTTTTTTTTTTTTGAGTAATTGCTGAAATGTAATTTGGAATCCACAAGTGGTTGGTAAGAAAGCAGAGGGCAGAGGAATTACCCTTACGGAAAAAAAAAGATAATAGTGTCAGTGGCCTTTAACCCAAATTATGAGTGCAATCCAAAAATTCACCATTAATCACAAGCAATTGGCTATTGAAAGAATAAACTGCTTAAATTTCTTGTTATGAAAAGTGATTTAATGTCTGCGGCTTTAATGATACAATTCATAACTGGCAGCATGGAGAACATGGGTTAACAGAAAAGCAGTCACCAGATTTAAAAATAAAATAATATAATTGGAAGAAAGTACTCACAACCTCTAGGTTCATTTTTTTAGCACAATATGCTTGGTATATTAGGCTCAATTAGCATAACGCAATGATGAAGGATGCTGCACATTGAAAACTCCTTACTTAACTCTAGCTTCTGTTCTATGACAACTTATAACCAGGTTTTTTAAAATGCTTTTTCATTTCTGAGGCTTAGCATACTTTTTAAATAAAATATTTTATATTGGGTATTCATATCAACACTGGATTCAGATAGGTTCTGTGTTTATATAATGTTACTGAACTTTACATCTACTCAAGTAAGTCATTGTTGGTTGGTGATGAAAGATTGTCCTACAGGCCCCTTACTTGTGGGGTACCACAAGTTTCTATTCTCTCTCCTCTCCTTTTCAATATCCACATGAAATCACTGGCAAGATCGTCTGCCGCTTTGGTATCAATTTGATATCAATTTGATACCATGCTGATATTAATTATATCTTTCAATTCTAGGCCAGAGAAGTGAGGCTACTGAGGTTCTGTCCCAATGCCTAAAAACTGTGTGGGTCTGCCATGGGAAGGAGCCATCTCCAAACTCAACCCAGCCCCAATCGAGTGTTTGTGTGTATTTGAATCACCCAGATCTGGGGATATCCAAACTATGACCTTGGATGGAGTTGCACTTCCTCATTCAAGGATGGTGTGCAGTCTTTTTGTATTTAACAGCTCTTGCTCAATGAGCAGATGGCAGTTGTGACCAGGAAGGTTTTTGCCCAGCTTCAGTTATGCACTTTCCTAGATTGAGACAGACACTGGTACCCTGGTCACCTCACAGCTTAACTACAGTAACACGCTGTACATGAGACTGCCCTTAAAGACCACCTAGATTGCTTCAGCTAGTCCAGAATGCAGCGGTGAAGGCAGTAATGGGCAAGGCTCTGTATGCCCATGTAACACCTGTGCTTTGCAACCTGTACAGGTTGCCAGTTTATTTCCAGGTGTGATTCAAGGTGTTGGTCATTACCTGTAAAACCCCATATGGTATAGGTCTTGATTACTTAAGATATTGTCTGTCTCCCATAATATCTACTCAACTGGTTCATTCTGGCAGATTGGTACAATTTGGGTTCCTCTGGAATGAGTCTCGCTTACCCCAAAATTTGAACGTCTCCTACCCTTTAAAGCCATTTTTTGCCCAGGCTTTGGGGAAGACATCTGGTACCCCTTTCTCCTTTTCTGTCCCCTTCTATGTTTGTTTTATTTGCCATTGTTGTTCTTTTGCATTGTTTTTTGTTTCCAAATGTTTTAATAATTGTAAACTGCTCAGAGTGGCTGGGAATCATGCCACTTATGGAATATAAATTTAATACATAAATGTCAGACAAGTGAACTTCATTTACTCAACAACTATTTTAACTGTATCAGTTTAACTCAAAAGTCTTTTATTTGTTTTACATAGAATACAGGTATTGTGCCATAACTCACCCAACAGCCTTCTAAAAAGAAATAATTAAACATGTTTTAATCTGCTTCTAAATGTTTATATGCCTTAAATGCTGAATATTCTCAGCCTGATTTTTTTTCTCTTATTGTTTCCACATCTTTCTCTCAATTGTTAGGCCTTTCCTCTCCAGTTTTTCCCCTTTGGGTTTTTCTTTTCAGCATCTAAGTAAGGGTATACAAAATATTTCAATTTTGAAACAGCTGTTTGGATTTGTAATGGGTTGTTCTAACCATTCCAGAAGCATTTCAAACTCAAAACAAGTATTTGATCTGAATTCAAAAGAGGTCTGAAACACTCCCCAAAATAGTTGGAACAACTTGACCTACAAGAGCTTGTGCCCAAAACACTTCAAACTCAAAGCGTTTCACACACCTCTATCTACTATCCAGGGACCTATTCAAATTCCATCTCTGCTTGCCTTCCAGATTCAAGCTCTCCTGCTTGCTCTCCCATTTTCCATTTTTTAAAAAAGCAACATAACAGCATCAGTTAAGGTAGATTATATAGATTCTGATAGACTCTTTTCCTGTTCAACTACTGTGGGACTAAACATATTAACATGATAATGGGGATTAATCCAGCTCAAATTAAGCTTTTTAAAAAACTTGTGTTCAAGCCAGTGGAAAAGTTAGCCACGTGCTTAAATGCATTGCCCCATAATTAAAAAATGCTTAATTTTCAAAAGAATATGCCCTATAAATATGTATGATAACATATGAGGACTTACCAAGTATCCAGTTTATCTTTTACAATTCTAAAAGCTTTAATGCATGCATGAACACTTTTACCAGTTAATTATTTTAGGGAATAGTCTTTGCTATGTAAGCAGTCTGACCTAAACAGGAGTCAGCCCTCGGGATTAAAATTTCTTTATAAGAACTACAGAAGATATACTATCCAATCTTCTAAAATAAAGGCTACTTAGAAGTCAATCCTAAAGAGTTTACTTCTGAGTAAGGATTGTGCTATAAGCAAATTATTATAAGACAAGATTATTATTATTATTATTTTTAAAAAGCACATTATTTCTACACAATTGCTTACATTAAATAAACATAGCCCAAATACCACAGTATTTTAACCATACCTGGAAAGCATCTCTGTCCCTCAAGCGGGTTCCACTTTTCAGAATTTCTGCAACTCTTGTTATTAAAACCAGCTGCCAAATCAGGTTAATAATAGAAATGATCCACATTCATCCAGAACCACAAGACTGTCAGGTGACAGCTTGAGAAGTCTGAATTTAACGAAAACACAAGCGGTTTCCACGCTGTAGCAGAAAAAGGGAAAAAGAGGCAACCCCACAGATGCAGAAGGAAGCTTCTCTCGGAGTCAGGATTCCCCCCAAAGAAGAGAGAGAGAAAAAAAGTCAGCAGCGCAGGGGATTCCTGAGACAGAAAATCCGGAAAGCCCTGAAGGAGAATATGGCCATTCACAGGCAGATGCTGCTCTGTATTTTCACAATGGACAGCCTGCCTTCTTGCCATCCTGTGGGTCGCTTCAGAACGTGGGCTACAGCAAACATGATTGTAATGTACCCCACCTCCTTTGTCTCCTCCTGGAGAGTGTGACTGCAGAAGCCTAATCTCACTCATCAGCAAGCTAAGTGCCCCTCAGCAGCCAAGGCTGACCGCAAAGGTCCATTTAATCTCTTCTCCTCATTTAGGGAAACCAAGACAGGCAGAGCCTCGTGATAAGGCTCCTTGTAGGTGGGGTTGACAATCCCGCGCCTCTCCAGTCTGGGGTGGGTCAGAAAGGCAGAGTGAGTGGTGGGAGAAAGGCAACAAAGCAGTCCCCCCCTCCCTTCCTCTCTACTCATTTCCTACATTCTTGGAAGCTGCAAGATGCCGGGGACCAACCCCCTCGCTGACAAGCTCAGCCTGGGAGTGGAAAAGCCACCCTAACAGCCATCACATGACCCAGAGCTGTCAGTAGATGCTACCTGGATCTGCAATGAGGCCGCTAGCCAATCCCAGCTCCGCCTTGCTTGCATACATGCATGTAAATTTCAGCAGGAAAATAAAGCGATTACTGTTTAACCATGCAGGGCATTCATCTGAGTGCCTGATTTATTATTTAGCACAAGCCAGGGCATTAAGCTTCCCATGATGCTTTTTTTCTCACCCTGCTTGCTCATCAGGGAAGAACTCCAGTAAGTATTAACTTAAAGAAGATATTGTTTTCTCCCTCTCCCTCCCCCCTCTCTCCTTCTCTCTCTCTCTCTCTCTCCCTCTTCTCCCCCCCTCTCATTCCCTCTCTCCACACACACATATGCCTCGAAAGCTTCTTCTCCAAGCTCAAATCTTTTGTAAGAACAAAGCAGACACTGTTGGTTCTGTAAAGGCTCCTTAATGTTTCCAGCAAAAAGGCCCCTGTTTCAAAGGCTTCTGCACACCAATGATTTCCTAGCTGTAAACAAGGTTTTGTAACTGCTCTTTGGGGCAGCACAGACATTTCAGGCTACGGGGAAAGCAAACCGTCAAAGGCACTCATAATCCTCTGGGAGAGTGTTCCCACTTGAGTGTGGGATAGTGATAAAGGCGCTGGACTATAAACCAGGCTGGACCAGATTCCCACCCACAAAAGCTTCATTCTGCCTGTGAGTATGGCTCACTCTCTCAACCCAGTTGAAGCCTACCTCACAAGATTGTTTCAAGGGAAATTGATAAGAATGAATGCTATGTACACACCCTTGGGTTCCTGACAGCAAGGCAGAGTAGAAGTCCTACAAACTATACAAACTGCAATGTGAAACTCTATTCAAAAGCAGGTCCAACTGAGTTGAATGGGACTTACTCCCGAGTAGGAATGTGCAATCCTGCAGCCCCTCAATATTTCCCAAATGGTTTTCATATAACTTGATTTGTGTTTTAAATCCAAAGAACAAGTCTAAGTAAAAAAGATTAATGAAAATAAAATGAAAGGGTTTTAAATGGGTTTGTACATTTGAAGCCAATTTTTAAAATAATTATTAAAAGATTACATACTTTATTATTATTAGAAATCATGAGTTCAGAATAATTTCAACAAGCATTAAAATAAATAACACCAACATCAACTTCAGAGCATCATTAATCTTGTTTCTTGTGTAAATGCAATTATTCGACACCAAGTAACATTTTACCCTTTAATCATGTAAACTGGATTGGCTATTTCCTTCTAATGTGTGCAAATGCATTCAAGTTTTAAATGAGGTTCAGATATTGTTCAAATTAATACACATCAAAAAACCTTTACCTTTGATTAGACACTCTTAAAAGAGAGCACACATTCAAACACCCCTATTGCTAACATGAAGTTATGTTACATGCAAGTATAGGTATATCTTGCTCTCTTAGTGTGGTCAAATGAGAATGTTATCCCTGGAGCTATATTACAATCATATTTGTTTACATGCCATCTAACTTTTACATGGATCCACATAAAACTGTTTTTATAACGAAGGCACAACTGCAGTCTAGGAAATGATCTGGGAAGTATGCAAAGGGATTTTCACTAAAGCTCTAGAAATCAGAGACCAGCCTCACAAACATACAAATGACACTGAAACTCTGAGACACTTATCTATTCTTTCAACCCAGCAGAATGTTGGAAAAATTTTTTGTAAAGGTCCTATGATTCTGTCAGTCCGTCCATCAGCAGAATAGAACATGACAGAAATCAGGCATGGAGGAAGAAGATGTAAAAAAAAAAATCCAGTTCAAAAGGATCTTTTTTTACTTTACTTTTATTTAATTTGTATACCGCCCTTCTCCCGAAGGACTCAGGGTGCTGAACAGCCAACAATAAAATACATACATACAAAATTTAAAAAACAGAAATAAAATCGAATTAAATAATTTGGCCCAGACAGATTAAAACCCCAATCAATTTAAAACAGATTTAAACTTTGAAAATTAAAAGATATTAAAAATATTAAAATATTAAAATTGTTTAAAATCTAGATCCATTTGGAAGCTGTTGAGAAAAAAGACCCCTTTGGGAAAGGCATCTGGATGGCAGCTTGGAATGTTCCCCTCCCTCTTGCTCATGGGACCCAGAGTAGAGCTATCATTAAAGGTTGGAAGAATTCCAGAAATATGCTCGGCACCCTGCCCCTAATTTGTCATACTTGAATCTGAAGATTTAGTAGGTTTACCCTATTCTATAGATCAGCTTTCTCCAAAGCAGTGACTCTTAGGCCTGTTGAACTGTAGTTCTCAGAATTCCCAGCCAGCATGGAATACATCTACACTTTCTGGAAATTATGGCAATTACACTGCGATGGGCAACACATTGGAGAAAGCTGCTATAAATACTAGTATGTTTTATCTCTGTCTAAATGGTATTTACCCATGTTAAACCACTGTTGATAGTCTTTTGAAAAGAGATATATGCTATTGGGAACCTAAAAGTCCCAGGAGTTTCTTGGGTTCTTTTATCATTCTAAATACAATTTTGCATCTTTGCAAGAGAAGGTGTGTTAATCCAGCATGAACACCCAACTGTTACCTCTTCTTTGTATGCTGGTGGTCTGAAGACAGGAAAAGTCATAAACTGCTCTGACTGATTCTTGCAAAATACACATGCTCTGTTTTGTGCAAGAATTCAATATGTAACATTTCCATCAATAACTTTCAGATAAGAATCCTAAACTACAAGACTTTAGAAAAGCAACGCTCAAATACTTGAGAGTGACTCTAATTAAAGTTATTTGCCTAGTCTGAGGGCACTGAGTAATCTTTGAAGGGTGCTAAAGGTTTAGTTGGGTTTAAAGCTTTTTTTAAATAGTCAGTGAATAAAATCAGTTACAAAATAGATGAGAAATAATCTCACAAATCATTAAAACTGCACTGGAATAGCAGTGTTTGTTTTCTATCCTGTTCCCAATTGCAATCCCTTATAAATAGAAACCAAACAAGTCTACATAATACCAACTGGTACTGCAAGACAAAAGGCCATTTTCTCTCTTTACCAAACAGTTATTTTATTGTGCACCCAAGCTACTCAAGGAGCTGAAAAATCCTTCCCCACATCTATCAGAAATAAAGTGTGCAATCCTCAACTGGGTACCCTCTAGATGCGCTGGAACTACAGTTCCCAGAATTCCCAGGCCAACAACTAAGATGATTCTGGGGATTGTAGTCCCTTAAACCTGGAAGGCACTGGGTAGGGAGGACTGGACTAGCACATTCATTTAATGGAAAGTCTTTGAATGGGAAAATTCCAACATGAAAGTTCTTTTGGCCATCTCAGATTATTTTCTGTGTCTTTCAAATTAAGGAGAAAGGGGTGGAGAGAATACTTTGTATAATTCAAGATGACATCTTGACATGCCATGCTATACTTCCAGTGGATAAAATTTTCCCACTTCAATTATTTTGCAACTTTTAGCCAAGTAGTTAAATCTTTGGTTTACCCTTTCTCAAGTTATGCCGACAGTAAAATTACTTAATCACTTTGCTACTCAATTAATGAAAACATTTCATTTTTAAAAAAATCAAATGGTAAAGTTGGCTTTGTAAATCATAAAATATTCTATTTTGTATTTTAGAAAACTGCAGCTGGCAGTGTACAATCTAAGGGTGAAGGTGTCTACAATCCTAAAATGATAATCCCTTTTCTCACTTTACAAGGTTATCCTTTAGGAGTCAGGCCCAAGAAAATACAGTAAACATTAAAAAAAAAAAAAGAAAAAGAACGGTCATATGTTTTGTTTATTCCACTAATATTCCTTTTTAATCCAGGGTTCAAAGGCAGCATGCAAAATCATCCCAACAAATTCCATTTTTGTCCATAAAACAATTATTTAGTATAGGACAGAGTGATAAAGAGTCACTGGCCTAAATCCACCAAGTGAACTTTGTAACGAGGTTTCATAGATAAATCTGTTCTATATCTATTTTTCAGTTTCAGTTATTCATTCTTCTTAACCCATTAAACTCAAGATATTGGAAGAAACATTGGCACGCCCTGCTCACACGCAGATTCAGAAAAACGCCACTGCAGAGAATCCTCATATGCATAAGTATGATTTCCACCATGATTAAAACACTTATTTGTGGAGAAATGAATGCACATGAATGAGCAAGCAGAAAGAAAGAAAAAAACCAGTTGCACCTACTCACAGAACTATTACTACTACTACTTGCCCAGAGGGCTGGTTGGCTCTAGGATTTTAGCAAAACATTTTAAACAAGCCAGAAAAGGCATGTGGAGCATGGCATCTGCAATTCTTTTCGACAACCTTCAATGACCATGATCTGAAGAGGTAACACCTGTACCTTCTTCTGAGAAATAAAATAACACCTTATTTCTGGGTGTTTCTGTTTTCCACTCATGCCCAGGAAGCATGGGGCAAGTTGCATATGTTTAGCTACCAGTAGGAGCTCACATGATGAGGAAGGAGGAGGGCCTGGAATGAAGCAGTGGCAGCATTCCAAACTCCGCCCAACTCCTTTTCCCATAGGGATTCATTGGGGCACAAGCTACTTTAAATCATTTCTTTGCATCTTTGTTGGGCTGAGACGAATAAAATGGGCCCACCCCGGGTGGTTCGGTTATACACAGAAGTCCCAATGTCTATGGAGACTCTCAAGTCATCCAGGTCATGGTTGTTCCAAAGGTGCTTTTTCAAGAGGCAACTGGACTTCCTTTGTTTTTCTTTGAAGACATTTCACTTCTCATTCATGAAGCTTCTTCAGTACTGGATGAGAAACAAAATGTCTTCAAAGAAAACCGAAGAAAGTCCAGCTGCCTCTTGAAAGAGCACCTTTCAGACACAGAAGTCCAACTTTCTAGATCTTTATAGTTCACATAAAAAGCTCAACTCTTCAAATGAAATATTCCCCAAAACACACTCTTTTATTTTATTTCAAAAACAGTTTTGTGAATCCTTTTAAAACAATGACCCCACCAATGGAGGGAAGGAGAAGGAGAGCTAAGATAACTAGGCAAAAATT